CACGTGAAAGTTGAGAAATGAATGACACGATTGATGATTTAGAAAAAAGGCTCGACGAGCTCACAAAAATAAGGGTATTCGACGACGATGTGAGGCGCGGTGTCGACCTCATCGTTGAATCGATGCCCAACCCCGATCAGGAAAGGGACCCGGCGATGAAAGTCCGACTCCTCATCCTGCGCTGCAAGGCACTCACGCTGCTGCCCGTTTTCTCGATGGAGGCGGAGCGAGACTGCACGGCGGCGTTGAAGCTTCAGCATGAGAAGCCGGAACTGTGGGTGATCCTCAGCGAGTGTCTCGCGCGGCGCAAGGCGGACCGCGAGGCATGTGACGCGTTGGACAACGCCCTGCGCATAGATGCTCATAATGTTAATGCTCTCTGCCAGTACAGTCGACTTCTTCGAAGCATTTCCAGCGACCCCAAGTTGACTCCAGCGGAGCGTCGGCAACACCTTTGCGACGCGGTGATGCGTGGGAAAGCTGCTGTGACTGCGTGTCCCACAGATGAAGAAGGTTGGCACTGCTACTCAATCGCCTTGCTATCTGAGGCGCTGGCAGACGGTGTTGATATCGCCGGGGTGCAGAAGGCGTTGCAGGCCATGCGACAGGCCGCGCGAATCTCTCCATCAGACCCCGACGTGCGGTTCAATAAGGGCGCCATCGAGGGACTCTTGGGGAACTTTGGCGTCGCCGCATGCGATTACCTCGCTGCGTACGAGGCAGACCCGCGACGCCTGAAAGGGACGAAGCAGTTGCTGGAGGATCATCTTGCAGTTCTTCGGCGGGCGCAGTCGCGGATTGAGGGTGCGCGGCAGGCGGGCAAGCGCGTCTTCGCGTCTCTACTGGCGAAGTTGCCCTCGACGCTCGACAATGCAACAATGAAGGCGGTGCTAGAGGGAGGTGCAGAGACGCCGTGCCGCGTAACGGTCGGGGTGGTGGACGTCTTGAGTGAGCCAACAATGGAGCCACTAGTTGTATTGTCGGCTGAAAAGTCTGGAGATTACGTCTTGCTGCTTTTTTATGGGTTGCAACGTAGTGCGTTAAAGATCAGCGACACAACCATAACACTAATATTCCCAGGCAGTAGACCTGTTCGCGTGCAACATCATGTGCCAGCTATTCCGTTGTTGGAGAGCAGCGCTCACTCTTGTACGTACACGCAGGTGCACGTTGACCTCAAGACAACGCTTGTTAATGGAACACCAATCCCTTCACGCATGCTTGCCTCACCAAAAGTATCATCTCGCCTATTCGTTTGATGTGTCTTTGTAAGGGGCAATTCTGCTAAAAAAAAACGAAAGGGGCACCGGCATTGTGTCGGTATTGGGTGGTCAGGATGATGGTACGCTCCACCACGGCTGCTGCTGTTAGTTGGCCCTGCTGTATCTGTCACTCTCTTTTTTTTCTACTTATCTTGGTCAGGAAGTATCTTTACTCTTTAGCTGCAAGTAGAGTTTGTTACATTTGAGACCCCATGGTGCAGCGTCTGTGTGTCTGTCTTGCAGGAAAAGAGGGATACGGCTGCGGTCGCTGCAGTGCGTATCTGTGTGATAACAGCGACATCATCTCACGCCACTTTCACGGAAAGCACGGTAAGGCCTATCTTTTTAGCCGCTGTTTTAACTACTACTTTGGCCCTCAGGAGGAGAAGGAGTTGATGACAGGTACCCACATTGTGCGCGATGTCTTTTGTTCTAACTGTGATCACTACATTGGCTGGACGTACGACTTTGCACACGAGGAAAAGGAGCGGTACAAGATGAATCGGTTTGTGCTGGAGCGCAAGCTTCTGCGAGCGATCACCGCCGATTCAACAAGAGGCTTGTCTGGCCCTGGCGCTGAAACGCAGGATATGGAGAACACCTAGTCTGAAACACACACACACACACACACACACACAGTCGTCATGTTTGGGTGGTGCCGATCACCCTATTGTTTTGTTCATTACCACCAGTGCACACTTCAGTCATCGCATTCAAGTTGACTTTTTCGTTTTGGCTTTCGAACTGTTTGCGCAAAGTGTGTGTTTGTATGTGGTTTTGCATTCAAAAGATACACTTTCTTTGTGCTGCATGTGGTCTTTTTTTTTGTTCCTATTTTTTTTTTATCGTCCTTGGTTAGAGTGCCTTCCTTCCAGAATATTTTTGATTTCTGCGCCTCCTTCCTATTGAGAGTGTGGAGCGGTGTTGTTGCAGTTGCGAAGGTCCCAGCATGCCGCACGGTCAGAAGGGGTCCATCAGCTCCCTGAAGGATGTTATTATTGATGAACGGTTCCGCATACTCAACCGCCTGGGCGGTGGCTCGTTCGGCGAGGTCTACAAGGGCGTAAATGTCCTTACTGGTGAGCACGTTGCCATTAAGTTGGAGGTGACAAAGAGCAATAGTCGTGCGCTGCTTGAGTATAAAATATACAGTTACCTTAATGAATGTGCTGTCGTTGTTGGTATTCCCTCTGCGTACTACGGGGGACGTGTGGGCGATTACAATGCTATCGTAATGGATCTGCTAGGTCCTAACCTCGAAGACTTGTTCAATGTCTGCGGTCGAAAGTTCGGTACAAAGACCGTTTGCATGATCGGCATACAGATTATTCAGCGGTTGCAGTATATGCACGGTATGCATTATATTCATAGGGACATCAAACCGGAGAACTTTGTCATGGGCATGGACGGGAACTCGCACACGGTGTATGTTGTGGACATGGGCTTGGCAAAGCGATACCGAGACCCTGCCACGCTGCAGCACATTCCTTGGGAAGAAAAAAAGGCGCTGACTGGCACGGCACGCTACGTTAGCATTAATACTCATCGTGGCTTTCAACAGTCGCGAAGGGACGACATGGAGTCTATGACATACCTCCTCCTCTACTTTCTCCTTGGGGACCTTCCGTGGCAGGGGATGAAATTAAAACCGGACGATCGCCAGTATGAACACATTTGTGAAAAAAAGGCCGCGTCATCACCAGAGATGCTGACTCGTGGTTTTCCTATACAGTTTGCTCGAATTTTACAATATGCACGGAACCTTCAGTTTGAGGAGACGCCGGACTACTCCTACTGTGTGCGCCAGTTGCATGAGGCGCTTGCTTCGTTGGGCGAGACGTGCGACTACCAGTATCCGTGGCTGGCGAAGTTGGATCCGCACGGGACGGAGGGGCAAAGTGAAACGGACTCACTCGATGAAGACGTCGGCGCCCATGCACGGTTATCTACAATAGGGGGTCCACGCAAGAGAACCTCTACAAATGCGACACAGTGCCGCACACTCACCGTTGATGACTTGAACGACGTGCCGGATAAGTCGGGGTGTATGGAGACTTCATCAAACGAGGCTCCACTTACGGGGCTGTTCGAGGACTACGGCTTCGATATCTTCTTTTAGCTGCTGCAGTGCCGCCTGGCACGGGCTGTGCCTGTGGTTTGTGCTTGGGGGACGTAATCAAGCGCATTGTCCGTTGCTTTTCTTTGCCTTGGAAGATGAGGAGGATAACCCGAAATCTTTCAAACTCTTATTGAGTCTCATTCTTTCAACAAAATACACACACACACACACACACA